TATTAAAATAAAATGAAAAGTTGCCAGAGGAGGTCTTGTGGGATTCCCTTCGGAGCGCTCATAAGAAGCTAATCGTTATTCACATAAAAACATGTAAAACATGGTGTATCGTATTACAATTAGAGCTTGAAAAATTAACAAAGTAGACCTTTCAGTGGAGTATGATAAGCAATCGAGTTTCGATATTCCGTTACGAATATCATATAACGTTTTGATCACCTGTAAAAATGTGTATGACTTCAATTTTAGTTGAAATGCATTACATACAATTATATGCATTATTGGCCATTTATTGTGAGAAACATTGCAGAATGATGTTCATAGCCATTAATAGGAAGAAGCACTTTTATTTTAAAGGTAGTAATTGAGAACCTGGCTCCAATTTCGTAAAGCTTGGCGTTACATAATCAAGTGAACATAAACAATTATCACCCGTATTTAATAAAAAAGGGCCGTAGCAATCCGTATTGATTTGCATTAATTGTTAACCTCATTCCACAAAGGCATAGTTTTCTAGTCCAAGATATTCGAGAAGAATCCGGCTACAAATAGTACGAACTGAGTCTCATCAGGTAAAATCAAGGAGGCTTAAAATTTCCCGAAACAGCATTTCACACATCCAAAAACACGTGTTTCCGTGAACTCTCGTAACGATAAGTAAAAATCCACAAAAATTCCAGTCAATACCTCACCAGAGTGGCGGCCGGTACGGAATTCTATTGGTGGTGCCAGTTAGTAATGCGCCATCAATAACAAAACGTCAATGTTACCAACTACCGACGTTCAAAATTAAAACATCCATGATAATAAAACACCGATAAAAATCATAGATGTTTTTAAACATCGATGCTATGTTTTAAAACTAATTAAGTAATCTGTAAAATATAATTTGTGGGCACCAAATTATATTTTTCAGTGCTCAAACTTAACAATTTATAAAGAAGATAAAACTGAAAACGAACTAAAAATAGTAAGAGCAAATAAAAAAACTCTCCCCGACATCCTGAGAGCCCACAGAAACCGCAAGAGGTCCGAACGTCCTGAGGTCGCCAAGGAAGGATGCGGGATGAAGGGGGGGGAGACCCTAGTTCACGACGTACGCCGCCGCTCCATGTGGGGCGTCAAGGGAAGACGTGATCGGCGTCATCCTCAGCGAGAGGTAGCCTGCTCCAAGGAGATATTGGCGTTAGTGCCCACTGTGGAACAGAACGTAAACTTCTGTGCCAGTTTTTAGACTCCCTATAATCCATAAGAGACGCATACAAACCAACGCAACGTTCTTTAAATGGGCAGAGGTAGTGCTCAGTTGAGAGGCCGACAGATAGCACAGCGCCCTGGCAGTTTGAAGTATTGATAGAGCACCGAAGGACTGAACTTTCATACAAATGAATTAACATAAAGAAAAACATTTTGAAGAAACGATATATTTCACGTGTATTTGTGGTGAAAATGTTCTTTTCCTTTCTTTTTGTTAGTGGTGCCGTAGCACGTTGGCACTGCCCTATAAGCCACCACAGCCCCACCAGTTGACAGAGACACGTCGAATGATAGCACGCCCTTCCCCAAACGATGAACCGGAAGAGGTGTAACACTGAAAATCGAACACATGGACACAAGCAAGTCACCCAGTTAGTGTAGGACAAATATTGGATTCTAGAACGCAAATGCAACACTCTAAGGCTTGTCATTATGTGGCATACTTTTTATTTTTAGCTTATCCGACGTGGATTATCCATTTCGATGGCTGAGAACCAGACTGTTCTAAGTCCATTTTACTAAATTTTTCAGGAGAGCCATGTAAATATTTTATTTACGGTGGGTAAGTACGGTTTGGTTTAGTATGGAATGGGTTTGTTACAAGCTTACGGCGTGGAATATTTACAATTTAGCTTGATAAACACATGTAGTCAGGGACATAGAAAACGGTGAAAAAAGATGATATCATTTTGTTCAAAAATTGGATATTAAACAGTCCGATTCTCAGACATCGATTTGTAACTTCGTATACAATTTGTATCGTCGTATAAAATACCAATAAAGGTAAATCCGGGTGTGTGGAAGATTGCGAACCACTGCGGCTGTTGCGCGCACGAGATGGCGCGTAGAGAGTGAAGGAGGTCAAACAGGGAGCTCTTTTTCTTCTTCCGGTCCTCCGCGAGGCGACTCCGCTCGCCGCTTTCTCCTCACAGCGTTACAGCGAGTGGCACGAGGCGAATTGCGAACTCCGCTTCGCGAGGCGATTGAGCAGTAAAAAGGAAACTACGGCAACTTGTAGGCAGTGGTGGCGTAGGCAGGGTTACGAATAGGTAAACCTAGGCACGGGTCTAGGGCGGTCATCTTAGGAGGGCTCCAAGTTTTTGATTAACCTTTTTTTAAAGATTTTCCATTTTAGCCATAGAAAAATAAAGATAAATGTATAAACACTTCAAGTAAATAAAAACAGTCTCAACATAACAATTCACACCATTCACTGACTGAATTCACACAAACGGAAAATGATGAGCACTAATCATCTTCACTCTTTAACAGGTATAACCGTTCCAACAGATGTCCCAAATTATCACTTTCGGTGTCCATACACTTCTGAGTAGTTGTTCGAGTAATCCGTGCGAATGTGATCTCAGATATTGAAGCACATTCCGTTTCAATGTATTCCCAAAGTGCTGCCAGTGTAGCTTCTTTTCTGTAGTTTACATCAATCTTAAGATTTCCCCATAAGTAGATGTCCAGTGGAGTTAGAACTGGAGAACGTGGTGGCACTGGATAGGACAAAGTGGTCCGCTTGAGTTTCCACCGCGTTCTTGAGATGTGAGTACTTAATGTTTTCTAATTTTAATGTGTTTTAAAACTGGAAAATGATTTTAATCAACGTTTACCATTCAGCCTCATATCCACCATCGGCAGCATTTGAACTATTTTTTGGCGCGTTTTGAACATTTTTCGGACATAATAACAGCTTACCTTGCTAGCTCCATCCGATCTGTACAAATACCGCAAGAAGTGGCAACCGTCAACAGTAATGATACCGCACTTGCGTCAGCGGATCAGAAGACACCTCATTCCGTTCATTGACCACTTCTAACGGAATTCAGTGTTTTCCAGGCTTTTGGTGAAGGTCTATCTATTTTCACTATATCCTGGAGGGAATGTATCTGTTGTTTAAAAAGTGTTAAAACACCCTTACACACGGTCAATATACAATGTTATTTACGTACGTCTAATATGCCTTCCTAACAATTTATTTTATTACAAAGAGAATTGTGAGAATTTAAATTATTTTTTTGAATTCTCAACTCTACTTCAACAGAAAATTCAAAGGTGGACAGCGGTCCTATTCGATTACCTGAACGTTATTACAAATTACCCTATTTTTATTCCCTTTCCTTAATCACCTCTAAGTGGAAATTCTTCGCTAACGTGGAATATTGTCTCTTCCCTTTCAGAATTGAAATATCGATATTTTACTGCATACTAAGAGTTGTTGTACCAATTTAACGTATGTGCACATACAAATTTGATGCTACTAGACTTGTTGCTTTGATGCTTGTAGACTAGCTTCCCGAGACAATTGGGACCGAGAAACCTACCTAAAATACGAAAAAAAATCATGTTGTTACATTGATGTTACGTTGCTCACATTGTACCAATTTTTAAGCATTCTCTCTAATCAGTTTTTAATCATTTACAGTCACATGACCAATTCCTAAATCAGTATATATTTTGCTAGCCCATTTATCTGAAAAACACCTGACCTGGGCCCACGTGACCAATTCGACGATTATCAAATTAGACAATTCTTAGAATTGATGACTGCCTCGTTCAGTGCACACATTAGCTCACTCCTGTTGTAGCAACTAATGTATACACTTGAAGGTTTCATTTTTGGGTGTGTTCTGTTGTTATTGTTTTCCTGATGACCGCCTCGGTTAATGGAGTGTCTAACAATCGTGAGTTAACTGTATTTATTTAGTTTCTAGTTTCTATCTCTTGCGGGACACCGGTGATTGGTTCTCGGTAGGTATCGGTACCAGCCCTGGTGAAGAATGAGAATCGAGCCTTAGTGGGGATGACCAACTACGCAACATGAGAGAGAATCCTCTTGAAGTGGGGCATCGCGACCCCAGTTCTGATTTCTCCAGCAGTCGCTCCTCGGCTTGTGCAACTCGTCGCATATACGGAGGTGGCGGAGGATATTTTGTTTTCTGAGGGGGTGGAAACTACATTGTTTAGTTGTTTTTCTGTCAATAAAATGTCATCTAGAATAAATTTATTTAGATGTACACATTGAAATATTTAGAAAAATACAATTTTAATTAATAAATATTCAGCCCAATGCACTCAAAGTTGGAAACACAACTATAATAAAAATGGGATACATTAACAATATGTATCTCATTTTGGTTTTGGTCATTCAGTACTTTGTAACCCCAATATACACACAAGTATCGACATATCACGTGGCTTCAAATAGCCGTAGAAACATCAATACCACGGAAGTATCAATACATTTTACACGAAACAGACATCACGTGTCTACATATTACATATATGTTGACAAGTATTGCAATATAATTTGAATTTCGCTTCATGACGCAGAGTCGCAGAAAAATCAGTTCATGGAAAAATCAGTAGATGTTACACCAATCATAACTTATATTGGTTTCCGCCTACTTCTGTTTTCTAATACAAATACGCAGACAAGAACGGATACAGTACCGATATCGCTTCGCGTAGACAAGTATTGAAGTGAAATTTGTATTTCCCGTCATGACGCACAGTCGAAGAAAATACAGCGCATGGAAATTCAGTGCATTTCACATACCACACATCGGTTTGGTCCTTCAGTATATACTAACACAAACATGTTGGCAGGTACCGATGTAGTATTTCCTTTCATGGCACAGTCGAAGGAAACCCGGTGTACCAATATACCCGGTCCATTTTGTACCAACCTTGAGCCAACTTAATACCACTTTATACCCGTGTGTGTTGTGCAGTGGCTACCGCTCGGGCTTGGGCGTGTACTTGTCGGCGGGGGCGGAGGCGGGGGCGGGAGCGGGGCGCACGCGGCGGCCCGCACGCCAGCCCACGGCGAAGCACGCCACGCACAGCGCCAGCAGCGCCGCCATCACGCGGAAGCACGCCGGGAAGCTCTGCGTGGCGTCGCGCACCAGCCCTGCAACACCACAGCCGCTCACATACCACGCCCCGCCCCAACGCCAGAACGAGAGGCGACAGGCGCTGCCGGAGTTCTCACGTCCCTTCCTAAGCGTGCACGTGATGGATGGTATCTTTAACTCGCCTGCTTATCGTGCTCGTTTTCCGTGTGCGAAACAGCTATTTTTTTCACAGTGTGCGAAACATCGGGAAGCGTGTGCGAAATATCTGTAGCGGTTTTGCAATTGTTTTTCGTCTTGGTTTATTGTTTACAAACATTAGTGTTAAGGCACTGACTGGAATCCATTTACTTTTGTACAAGTAAGGTTGTTCTATTTCGTATTTGATGTTTAATTTATATTCTTTTACATCAAGCAATGCGTTTCACTCACGGCGTGTTAAAACAGAATACGCAACACGGGCGCGAGGTGATTCTCTTTCCCGCTCGAGCGTTGAGAGGGCCACGAAGACAAATCTGCGTCAATCACCCACTTCGCGCCCTTGTTACGTAAACTGTTGTAGTGCGTTTGTGATTGTCACTCCGGTGGCCTAGGGCTGTTTCCTTGAAAGTATCTGATGTCCAATGCAAATGGACACCGTATTTACCAAACCAAGCTTACTCTCCCTTTTTCGTTTAACCGACAAATTAGCCAATTAGCATTATCTCGCATTTCAGCTATAACATGGACACATAACATGCTATATTATATACACAACATATTATATATAATAGCACATGCGAAAAGGGACTTAGTGCCCACATATTGTATGTCTACAGTTGCAAATAGTTAGAAAACCGAATTTGAAAGTTTGTAACGGTGCAGTCACTTACAGAGAGAATGCATTCCGAGAATAAGCACGATCCCTTGAAAATGCACACAAAATCATTATACAGTAGGAAGATATGAACGAGAGGTCATTAAAAATGATATTAACTCAAAAATTACCATGAGTGAACATACTATGTTTGAACACTAAGTAATAGATACATAATTTAAAAAGTGCAAATTTCTGCTATGGCCACTACACTCGTAAGAATAGTACATGTTTTTATCATGAAAAGTGGTGATCCCCCACTGGATGGTGATTTGCGGTGTTTTCGTGAACTAGGAAACAGCACCGGCGAGGCATCGCCACAGCCGAGACGAGTTCAAAGGTCTCGTCTCGTGTCGCCTCAACATCTGTGGCAGTGTAACGCATGCAGGTGTGGAAGTAAGGGTGAAGATAGGACAAGGAAGAGGAAGCGACGACCGCGCGCGATCCTGGCATTCGACTGGAGTTAGTCGGAGAAACCATGGAAAAATACCGATCAGAGCAGCCGGTCGCTAGCATTCCCCTCCAGACAGCGACAGAAGTCGACCTAGCTATCTAGCCAATGCCGAAAATCCTGTCACCGTCACACAAACCCTAGGACCTCCCGAAGACGGCGGCACTATTTTCGACACTCGTTACATAGCTAGGTCGAATTCAGCCGCTGTTTGGAGGAGAATTCTAGCGGTCGGCTGCTCTGATCGGTAGACTTCCGTGTTTTTTCCGATCAACCCCAGGGCAATATCGAAGGACAACCCTAACAACCGGTCATGGACCGCGCACAATCTCTCCTTCCCCTACCTTGTACCACCTTCTCATGTTACTTATTCACACGTACACTTACATGCAAAACATCACCATACATGCCGAGAGACCAATCGGGAGCTCAAAGCTTTCATCGTCTGGGGGCGGTGTCAGCAGGTGGGTGATACCTGGTTGGGGAAAACTCGGCAATCCGACTTGTAGGTTGGCGTGGGACCTCGACATCCAGCGGGAGTTGACCACAGCGATTAAAAACGCGTTACACTTACGGGCTTAATGGCCTATGCCATGAAATAGCAATCAAGGAAGCGGGCGGGCTCACCCAGGACGAAGGAGAAGAGCGCCATGAGGCCGATCTGCAGGCTGAGCGCCAGCGCCATGGCGGACGGGAACTTGGCCGGCGGGACGATCTCGGCGAGCGTGAGGAAGTAGGTGACGTACATGACGCCCTTGCACAGCCCCAGCAGCGCGCCCAGCGCCAGCAGCGCCTCCCACGCGGTCGCGAACGACAGCGCTGCGACACGCGCATCACCATTCTCCTTCACACCCCTCTCTTTGTAATCCTTCTGATACATGTACGTTCCATTTTAATGGAACTATCAGCCTTTCCTCAGACATACAAACACACTTCCGATGTTAAATAATACAAAACCATATACTAACTCATACTCACTCATACCCGTGCGCGCGAGCAACACACACGCAAACGAACACACTATTTTGTACATTAAATATATAGTTAATATTTAGCTTAAATATAATTTATATGTTAACTATACAGTAGAATTGCCAGTTCGACACTCCGGCATATTATTTTAATCATCTTATTTTCTTATCTTTTTAATAATTGTGTCGTAGTCCCCTCCTCACTTTCCCCGACCTCTCTTGCACGGCCAGCTAAGCGTTTGTGTGTGTGTGTGTGTGTGTGGGGGGGATGAGGCCACGTCTCACAGCCGCTATTGGTCGCACGCGGGGTTCGAAGGCCCCTCTTCCCTCCCCCGCCCACGTGCGCGCCTCGCCCATCTGGGCACGCCCTCTCCGCTGCCCCTCCGGGCGGATCGCCCCACACAGCCGGCAGCCGGCCCCTTACGGAAGATGGCCCCCTATCCCACGAAGAAAGGTTTGCCACAGTTTGGTCCTGCAGCGATTCAAATAAAGTTATAACATAATCAATTCAAATTGAATTGAATACCTTTTAACTGAAATTTCCATTCTTTCTGGTAAAAAATAGTTGTTCAAAATGTTTTAAAATTAACAATATATATTATAAAATGTTTTATGCACCTTTATTGTCTAAAGGGGAACCCTTGAAACTAACATCAGTGTCCTAAGGAGTTAGTAGATGACAAATGTTCTAAGACAAGTATTATTACAAACATGTTCCACAAGTAAACCAAGATAAATTATTATCAATAATGATCAGTTTCGTAACGTAAGTAAGATTACAACTAAACCTATAAACTACTTTCACATCAATCTTGATTCCCTCGAGCGGTGGCTGCGATCTTCCGCCACTGGATGTCAAGATCCGGCGCCGTCGGCCAACGGGATTTCCCTCAACCAGGTACCTCTCACCGCCGGAAAGGATTGGGTAATAGCGATTCCGAGCGCGTCAACTAGTAAGGTCGCTAGTCCCATAAGTGTAGTTCATGTTTTTGTTCGAGCGGTGGCGGTGGTCTTCCTCCGCTGTATTGATAGATCCGGAGCGAACCTACTCTCGGCTAGAGGGGGTTTCCCCAACCAGGTATCTCCCACCAGCGTGCCACCGCCCTAACCGGGATAAGCTCTGAGCTCCCGACCGGTCTCCCGGCATGTGTGGTAGTGCAGTGACTGTTAGTGTAAATGTGTGTACAAGATGAGGAAAAGACAAGGAAGAGGAAGGAAAGATCGCGCGCGGTCTGTGCCCCGTTTGTTAGGGTACTGCTCCGACATTTATCTGATGTCGATTGGATAAAAACAGAAAACTACCGATCAGAGCAGCCAGCCGGTAGAATTCTTCCCCAGACAGCGATTGAATTCGACCTTGCTACCTATCTGGTATCGAAAATCCTGCCACCGTGGTTTGTTACCCTAGGATCTCCGGGTCAGAGGAGCTGCAGTGGCAACAGTCGATGCCCTGAGTCAGCTCTCTCGGTGTCTCTTAAAATATTATTAACCTTAATTTGTTGGTACTTTTTTATTCATAGCAGTTGAGAGGGGGGAAGGGATTCAAGGGAACGTGCGCGGGGTGAACGTCTCCCCATTGTCGCACGCGTTCTCCCCTGTTGACAGAGTGGATGCAGGCCTCACCGACGACGGCGGCGGCGGAGGCGGCGGCGCCGGCGGCGAAGAGCAGGCGGTTGGAGCGCGCCAGCCAGCGCCCGGCCGCCACCAGCGCCACGCGGCCGGCGAAGTCGCCCGCGGTGGCGGTGGCGACGGCGCGCGCCACGCCCGCCTCCTCCAGCCCCAGCGCGCGTGCGTGCAGCGGGAACATGGCGAAGAAGTTGAGCTCCTCCACGTGCGCCAGGCACAGCCCCACCGCCACGCCCACCACGCGCGCGTCGCGCAGCAGCGCAGCGTCCAGCCCCGCGCAGCGCAGCCACCGCGCCCTGCCGACACGTCACTCACTCATTGGCCATTCGCCACTCATTGTCCATTCGCCACTCACTTGTCCGTTCGCCACTCACTTGTCCGTTCGC